AAGGTGAAGCAGCGTTCTGCATGTATCACTCAACACTCTTTTCTCTTCTTCCACGGGCAGTTTTGATGATCTTGACCATCCTGACCTTGGGTTTCTGAAGGGTTGGGACAGCCCTCCACTAATGCATTGCACGCTTGCTTACTTGACGTGTTCCCTGCGGAAAAGAAACAAGAGCACGCAGTTTGTTAAGAATAATAGTCTTTCTTGGTCGCCTCCATTGCAATAATTTTTTTGTTTATTCAAGCTGAGTTTCCATCTGACACACCAGTTCCCTGAAATGACGAATTTGAAAATGCAACACCCACATAAACATACAAACGTATTTGTATATGTGTGCGTGATAGATGTTAATTTATGATGGTCATCTAGAAAACGTCGAGTTGCAAATAATAAATTAGTCCAGTGGAGCATCATATTTTGGACCTCTTTGCCTCTGAAAGGAGTGTCTGTATTGAGTTAAATCACAAACCTCAGTAATCCCGACGCTTTGGAACAGTATGAGCGTTTGAATTAATGGAGATTTATCTTAGTGGTGGTTAGTGGAAGGACAACATCCTTCCCATTCACTCTTAGTCTTTTTGTTTCTTTCCCTTCAAAGAAATAGCCATCAGATAAACCAGCACAATCTAACCACTTTAACTTGGTTACACTTAACAGAAAACTTCTCCCACCAACAGCGTATCGTGCAGCTGGGTTGCTGGAGGTAGTGTGGGTCGGTATCGCTGTGTGAGTCTCTGGCAGTACAGGGGCAGCATGCCCTCTGCACCCCTGCGGAGCCCGATACATGCGCGTTCAGCTGGGGAGCTACTTCGGAACTGGCACACGTCCTCAGACACCGTGCTGTGCGCCCCAGTGCTGCCGTTCCCGACCTGCCCTCCGATAGCAATCCTGTGGGCACGCTAGCGAGAGATGTTTCTTGTCTGTCAAAATGACGTTTTTCAGTACAGGAACAAATTGGAGAAGTTTGCGCTCCCTTGGATCATTACGTTAGGGTAAGGGACCATCTCAGACAGATATTCCTCAATTCCTTTTTCCTTTCATCACCACTGAGTGCTGTTTCTCATTTCTTCCATCATCATCATCTCTTCCTGACTCCTGTCCGTGATTCCCGCTTTATTCCTCTTAATATCGTCATCCTTTCACTGCTTTTCCTACTTGCTTACGACCTGTGTCACTAGGATCAAGTGTCTTTCCTCCTCTTGGTTTTCCCACTTCCACTCAAGATCCCCTCTCCTGAGTCAGTATTCGGGAGGCTCCGCCGTAGCCATGCTGTAGGCCAGACAGAGTGTGCCTAGACCGCAGACGAACCGATGCGGCCTACAAACCACGTCTTGCCTCTCTTCTTCGACCACGATGGCTACAGGAGTTTCACTTCCCGTTTGGGACTTTTTCCAAATCCAGATGCTGACGGAGGTTGAGAGGTACCATGTAAAAGTTAGATAGGTTGAAAACTGGGAAAAGCAGAGGCTAAGCTGTGTGTGGGGTCTCAGGATCTTACTGAAACTTTATAAAAATATACTGAAACTGTGTAAAAATAAAATGAGTCGAGGCATTCTAACTGTCCCGAGAACAAGCTACTCAGCTTCTAAATAATCACCCGAACAAGAGACTGTATTTATTCCTCACCTGAAGGAAGTCACTCTTTTATCCCCTTATTTTATGCCTCACACCTAGATTTATATTGTCACCTAAACCAAAACTTGCCAGCAGCCAGGCTTCAAGCCGCTTAGAGATCTTGTTGGCGTATTTTCACGCCGAGTTCTGCAAAGACGTCGTCACGTATTGGGGTTACTCCGAGAGGGCTGCATTATAGGGAAAACAAAATCACGGAAAAGGGAGAGAAGAATGGACTTCTGTTTACAATGTCAGATCTATAGGATGTATCGTAAAATCTGGTTGTGTGCGCGCCTTCCGCGAGTATTCTCGGGTGGTCACGAGCAAAGAAAAACGTGAAATGTAAGTGGAATGGAAAGCCTTTTATTCAGAAGTGCGTTAGCTGTGCTCCGAGAAAGAAGCCATCTTCTCCGAGCGGGGCCTCCCGTGGTAATTACAGCCATGCTTTCCTGAAAGCATATTTTGCGGACTCTGTGTGGGGAGCGATAGCACTTCCCAAAAGGCAAATGCTCGAAGAGCTCCCATATGTTTCTGATCGAATTCGAAGTCTAGACTTGCTTTATTTAGTTCCCTTCGCCCTGCATTTGCCTAGCTGAAGCTTTTTTAGGTGTTCCTTTAGAACTGGGGAAAACGGGATACGCCGCTTAGATTAAAAATAAACGTAAAACTTCTTAAACAAGGAAAAGTTTTTGCACGGGGGTAAGAGTTACCCTCCGTTCAAAACCCCACTGAGCTCTTCAAAGGAGGAGCCTCTGCAGCAACATCAGGGAGTTATTAAATACATACTTAGTCCCCAATTTTCATTGGTAAATTCTTTACGTCTGCTTCATGTGCGCTGGTTAGAAGAACTGATTCTTTCTGCAGACTCGTTTACTCAACCCTGGGGACCTATGATCCCCTGCCCCTTTAGCACTGGCTTCTACAAACACTGTTTCCCTTTTCTTTTTTAAATAAATAATTTTTTTAAACCCCCAGAAAACGAAACCCGCAGCAGACCGAGCAGCCCGTTAAAGGGGCCAGGCAGCGGGACTCGGCCCCCAAAATTTGAAAACCCCGCTGGAATGACCGCGGCAGTGACATTTTTATAAGAAGGAGCTTTCTATGAATCGCAAGCCGCCCTTCGGGGCCTGGGCACGGCTCGGCACCGCGCGCGCAGCCCCGGCCTCTCGCAGTCGGTGCGATAACGCAGGGAAAAGGCGGTCCGCACCGTCTCCACCACTATCATCTTCTGGCCTCAGACTAAACATTTAATTGGGCTTAGTCACGTATTTACTGACTGCCATGGCAGCCAGCAGGGATCTGGGGGAGGCTGTTGTCCTCTGGTTTTCCCTCTCTCCTCTCCATAGGCAGGTTGGAGCTCCCCCTGCCGCTCTGCTTCCCATTTCTCCACTTTTTGGGAGGTCTGGCGTTTATGTCCCCTTTGCTCAGAAAGTGATCGTGCTGAAAGCATGCAAGATTCCTTCAGACCTGCGTTTTTCGGAGGTGCCCAGAGCAGGAAAGGGGACGTCGTTTGCGAGGAGCGGCGCGGTGCTGGTGCTGTTATCTCAGGGCTGTGCTTTGGGTGCTCAGCTCCTGCATCCCTCCGTCCTGGGGAGCAGCTGCACTTCCAGCCCCTGCTCCAGGTGTCAGGGAGGGAGAGAGGCAAGAGACCTGCAGGTTGGCCTCTCCTCCCAATTTTGAGGATGCAATTCCTTTAAGGGGGGGAAATAAGGTCTAAATCCTATTCCCAGTGTAAAAACTGTCATGGAATGGCTTGTCACCTTGACAGGGAATTCTAATGACGGGCAATTTGTGGGCTTGTCCTTCCCCTCATTTTGCCTTCAGCTCTGGCTCGTGCCAATTGCTGCCATGTGCCAGGGGCTAATGAAGCCGAGGTCTCTTCCCCTGTGCTGTGCTCTGCCCGGGAAATCGGGAGCACGGCCCCTCTTCCTGCCTCATGGGCACGGAAAACCAGACACTGCCCGGGAAACTGTCAGCAGCGGGACGAGAGGTGAACGATGCTTTTGCAGGTCTTTTCCCAAGCGCTGCCTTTTCCCAAACACCTGCTGCTTCTCTGGAAGGCACCTCTGATTTCCAGGATGCAGCTCCCACTCCTCTAGTCGTGGTGCGTGGGGATAAGGAGCTGGATTGAAGCCCCGTGCGACTGGATGGGAGCAAGGCAGCAGCATCGCTGGGGCAGAGGAGAGGGGCTGGAGCTGAGGAGAGCTCTGCCTGTTCCTCACGTGTGTCCCTGCCTGTACTCGTTGGGAAGACACGCGAGGGTACGTACGCAGAGCATCCCAGACACGCGTACACCTCCACCAGGAGGTATTCCTAGTGGGAACGGGGGGAGAGCTTGGGTCCACTCGCCGAGCAGACCTGTCCGTGGGGCAGTGCCGCAGGGAGAAGCAGGCTGGCACGGCTCTGCTGGCCACGTGTGGGGCGAGGTGGGGGGCTGCGGCGTGGCCCTGCGCCCCAGGCCCTCGCAGTGGCACGGCTCCTCGTCGGAGAGGGCCCCTTGGGGGTATCGGCTTCTCCTTCAAGTGGTTCTCGGCAGCGGAAAGGAGAGCTCGCTGGGTATTTTTCTGTTCAGGTCTGGACTGGGCTTGGATGAAAATTCAAAATAGCAGTCAGGGTGCAGTAACTGCTCCTGTTCAAGGAGGAAATGGGGCTCAGATTTTTGGTTCAGGTTTGGTTTGACTGATTGTATCCAGGAAATCCTCCCACTGTGCTCTCCAGTTTCTGGTCCTGCTGGGCTAAAGAGCAATTTGACTAAATTACATTATTGGAATCCAGCGTGCTGCGTTCAACCTGGTATTAAAGTGCATGCTTGGGCTTGTATCTTTTAAATTTGATATGAAGACAGCTGTGTGCATTTTCCCTTGTTTGTAAATTGTATGCACATGATACGATGTTTTCAGTAAGCGCTAAACAATGCAGTGTGAGGCATTTCAACAAAGGAATAATTTAATGCAACCCAGCAGAAACGCAGAGCCTTAGAAGTGGTTCTTTATGAAACTACGAGTTTTGGAAACGGGTCCAGAAGACCTACACTGGAGCAACACAAGAAACAATAGTTAACACAGTAACGTTGTTTTCTGTAACAAAAATACACCATGAAGGAATTACATTTTAGCTGGGTTTTTTTTTAGCTCGTTGATTTACTTGAATGCTTCAGTTGGCATACTTTGTTGCATGTTAGGGATTAAAATTCTCATTTCTTCACCAAAAGAGAATATCGTCCTACAAGACGCAATTGGAGCCAAGCAAGATGTTTCTTGTGGAGTGTAAATTTGTCTCATATATTATGTTCCAGTTCAAAGGAGATTAGCACATTGTTACATCCTTCTCATCTTCTACTTGGCTTTTAACAGAATGAGACGCGTTTCTCTTGTAATCTTCCTCAGAGACAAGGAGCTGTTCCGACTTCCAGAGGTGGAGGAGAGCGTTAAGGGAGCGTACGGTTTGCCTTGGCCGCTAATGAATTCTGCTGAAGCCGGGTGGGAACTGAAGAGCCCCTGGCTCCCCACCTGGTCCAGATCCCAGGTTCATAGCCCCTCTTAGAGCAGCTCCTCGTTGCCTTGGTGATCTGGGTTAAGGAATAAAGAGAAAGCTGGTGCTTCCCGTTAAAGGAAATAGGGAGCAACACCTCTGTGTAAGAGAGAGGATGATTGCAGCAACACAGCGCTGGCGGAGGGCACGGGAGGGCTGGGCGGCACGGCCTTTTGGCTGTATTGAAACAGGGCTGGGCAGAACTGAGCCAGCGCAGCGCTGGAGGCCACGCGGGTACTGCCGTCGGGGATTCTGCGCAGGCTTTGCTCAGCCCAGGTGGAATGGAGTATTACCAAAATACTCTTTGTCACCGAGCTGATGGAGTTATCTCCACGCAGCAGTGATACGAACCACCTACCCTAAACACAGGCAAAAAAAAAAGGCAATTAGGTAGCTACCAAGGAGAATCTGTCTCCAATTCGTTACCTACGCGCAGGGGTTGTCCTGCTGTCTGACGCTTGCGCTGGGCTCCTTTATCAGGCGGCGATGCAGCCCAAACCGAAACGCAGGGGTTCGCAGTACACGGGAGCCTGTGCTGGATCAGCCCTTTCAAACAGGGAGATAAAGACCCTGGTGCCCTCACAAGAAATCTGGGACTCCCTGAGGGGTGGCTGAAGCCGATAGAGGAACGCATTAGCGGTAGATTAATGAATCCAGCGGCCATAGCCATGGCTTGCATTTTCATAACTGGCTGCCGATGTAAAGCTTGACGTTTGTGCCTCAAATGCCAGCGCGTTGGTGTGGCTCCAGTTGGCCCAGCTGTGCAAGAACCTGCAGGTTTTCCTTGCTTCCACAAACAACAGCTGGAGCCCTTGCAGGCTGTCTTCCCGAATCCGGCTGGCCACTCTGAAACATGCCCGTAAGACCACTCTGGGGCTGTCCGGGCTGGGACTGACCCCTGAGACAACAGGAATAACGATCCTCGCCGATGGTTTCCATGGCACAAGAAGGTAACTGTGTTTGGCTGTGGACCAGAGAGAACCGTGTGATGCGTGAGAGGGCTGAGGCATGGTATGCACGTGGGAAACTCCCCCCCACCCCCTGCCGAATCCTTCCTTATTGTGGCTGCTCAGGGCTGTGGTGCCTCCATTTCCATGGAAATAAGAGCGTTGCGTTCAGGTGCATGTGCATGCTCGCGCAGCCACGGCAAGAGGCGCCAGGTCCGTTCTCAGTGTTTGCGCTTATTGTTTCTTCTCTCTCTCTCTCTCATTCCAGTCGAAGACCACCCCCTTCACCTACTCGACCCACTGTAATCCGCCCGTTAGATTCATCCCTGTTAGACTAGAAGAAGTTTCTGGCATGTCTTTCCTTGTTAACCACATCTGTGGAAGCCAATCGCTTGGTAACTGTCGCAATAACCAATGTATAGTCGCATGTATGGACATCTGTAGGCAAGTAACCGATTTTACTGATATACTCTGCCCATTCCACGTTGTTTATGAGGTCTTAAATGTTTTGGGAAGGTCTGTGCTGCCTCGACTTTTCCTTCTGCGGCAGCTGATGTCAGCGAGCGGACTGACACACGTGTTCGCCCAGGCAGCTGGGCCTGGACAGCCAAAGGAGGGCTTGACCTGGTGTGTGTGTGTGTGTGCACGTGCTGTCGCTTTTTTTTTTTCCCCCTCCGATCTGAAAGGGATCGTGCTTTTAGTTGTACCTTTCAGGTTTTCTGTCGTTCGGAATCGCACGGGTAGGCGTGTTTTCTGTTTGGATGGCTGAACTGGGCAGAGCAAAACAACGTG